GTCTTCCCATGTTTCTCTGAATTCCTCATATTTGTCATTTCTTATTGCACAGTCATATCCCATTACATTCAGATGCTGTAATCATTCCTCAATTGATAGGTACCTGTTTTGTTTCCAAAGTGTATGTGTGTGTGTGTGTATGTGTTTACCCAGTAGTGGGACTTATAATTTGATTTTTAATTTTATTTCTTTCTTAATTTACTAGGAGTTTTTTTTTTTTGCAAGGTACTTATTTAATTTGGCAGAGGCACTAAACATTTTTTAAACTAATCTAAAGTTTTGGAATAGGAAATATTTTGAAAATAACGTGAAAGACATTTGAGAAAATGTAATGCTAAGAAGTAATTCTCAAAATATACTCTCTGTAGATTTTCATTTGGGATTCTCTTTCCAAATGAGAATTGCTTTCAAACATTTAGAAATTTATACATACAGTGAATACTTATATATTATTACCATTTACATTAGTTATGGTTGACTCATGGAAGCATCAGCATTGTTGCTTATGAATTGGGTCCTTATAATTGGCATTGCTTTGCCTATAGGTTACTCTCTTTGCCAAGGACTGCTTAATAAATATTCTCATTGTTTGCCTTGAAGCTAGCTTTTCAAAACTTTCATATAGTTTCCTGACATCTCATAAGGACTTAGAATCATTTTTAGAGCTGTGAAGCTCTAAAGATTCAGTTCCTAGACTAGTCCTCAAATAAATACATGGAATCAGTAAGTATATAGAATAGTCAAAGGATTTACCCTAAGGCTGAGACTCAGTCAAGTTTACCTGGGAATAGTACTTCGATTATCTAGAATAGAGGTTCTTAACCTTTTCTGTGTCATGGACCTTTACGTCTTCTCATGGAGCCTTATGGACCCCTTTCAGGATAAAGTTTTTTAAATGCATAAAATGAAGTACATAGGTATGCAAAGGAAACCAATTATTTTGAAATACTCATCCAACTGTATGAAGCAAAAAACAAACAAAAAAGTAGACTTCAGGTTAAGAACTGGCCTAGAAGGAGAAAAGATACTTTTATTATTGAAATATGACAAGTTGATTTGATATTTTTCAATGATATTTTTCCTCAGTTTACACATTCTCACTATTTGTCTTGAGTCCCCAGAAAGTGTAATTAAAATTGGGATCATGCTTTATAAATTTTTATGGTCAGAGTACACCCTGTTTCTGACATGTTTTTCTTCTTTTTATAGTCAGTCAACTAGCATTTCTTGAGTGCCAGCTCTGTGTTCAGTGCTGGGGATCCAGAGAAAGGCAAGAGACACTCACAGATGATTGTAGTTACCTTAAAATATGATAAGGCCCCATCTTTTTTCCCCCTTTATAGAAAAACTGAGACATCGGAATAAATGACTTGTTCAGAATTTTGTGGCAAGCCTGCATTTGAACTGGCACCTTAAAACCCGCTTGGGCATGCTGGTTCAGTGTTGTTAACCACACATTCTGCCCCTCTCTTAGTATTTGCATTCTTTCTGGAATATTACCAATAGATCCACAGAGCAGGCATTCCCATTTGTTTTTAGGCATTTCCTTAGATCGCAAGGCCACCATTTAAGCCAAACAAACCACCAAAAAAACCCTCTACCATTCTTTTAGGAGACAAAGGTGAGAAGGCTGGCATAAGCTATTGGCAGCCAGGGCCAGTAAGAAATACCAGCTGGTGAGGACATCAAAGAATCTGAACACATGGGGATTTGATGTGTATATTGGAGCCATACTAAAAAAAAAAAAAATCCCACCAAAATAACATTGTTTTCCCCAGGAAAGTATTGAGGAAAATGTGCTTCTATTCAGAGCCTAGAGCTTGACTTTACCTATTGTATTGCTAAGCAGCCTTATTTACTGCAGCTTAAATTAATTTCAGCTCAAATTGGTTTAGAAATGACACAGAGTCTCAAGTTTGATTTATATATAAGTATATAGTAAAAGTATTTATTATTAAGATAGTAAAATAGGATTGATTAGTAAGTAGAATAGAGTTAGAGTTAGTAAGTCCCAGTAGGTAACAATAACATACTTAAGTCTCAATCATATCAAATCTTGTCACAGTCAATCATCACTCTAAGGGGAGCCATCTACATCTGAATCACATGGGCTGGGGAGTCCTGGTTTTCAGCCTCCAGAGTCCCAACAGGAAAATCCCAGGCTACACGTCTGCACCTCGGGGGAGACTCCAAAGATAAAGTCGGTAGTACCTGCTTTTAGTAGTTCCTTCTAACAAAGAAGGCAGTTTGCCAAAATAAATGCGTAATCTGTGGGGAAGGAGCTGTTCTCAAAACTATCCTTGAGAGTATTCCTGTTTATGAATATCTGGTTCCTGGAGGGGTGAACAGCACTTCCTGGGAGCAAATACCATAAACAGTCCTTCTGCATATAGCTAGGAGTAAAATTAACATGAAAAAAGAGTCAGGGTCAAATTTCAGGCATGCTGAGTGAGATCAGAATGTCTTTTTTTGAATTCATTCATCACACCTGTGAATCCAAGGAAGTCTCTTAGAGACAGCTATGTGGTTCAGTACATAGAGGTCTAGACTTGGGGTCAGGAAGACCTGAGTTCACATCCTCCCTCAGATACTTATTAGCTGTGTGGATCAGTCATAACCTCTCTCAACCTCAGTTTCCTCCTCTGTAAAATGGGGATTATAATAGTAATACCTACGTCACAGAGTTATCGTGAGATTAAATGAAATAACCGTTATGAAGCACTTAATAAAACTTAAAAGTATCCTGTAAATGCTGGATATTATTATTACTGATAAGCATTGGTGTCGGGGAAAAGACTCTTTAGGGTTTTAGTCTTGACTCTGCCACTAACAAGCTATATTGGTTTTCCCACTTTCACTCCTTTTCCCCTTACATTCTTCTCCCTACTGCCTGCTGACTCTCCCATTGGTGAGTTCCTCCTGGAACCTCCATTTCTGGGGAAGGGCTCAACCCAGTCACCTGTCATCCTTCAGATCTCACTATCCCCCGACAAGGATACTTTCTTCTTTTTCCTCTTGTATGTATTATCTTCCCCCATTACAGTGTAAGTTCCCCGAGGCTAAGGGACTATCTTTCTGTTTGTCCTAAGCACTTAAAAAATGCTTATTGAAGTGAATGTTGAAAATTATCTTTACATGTAATTGAAAAAATTAAATTCTATTAAGTGGAAGAAAAAATAGAAAATAAAAATAAAACATACACACACATACAATGCTTATTGACTGTTGCTTAAAATTGATATAAAATGAGGTGTTTCTCCCCAAGTATGATATTGAAAGTTTACTGGGAGAAGCAAATCACCAGCTCCCTTTCTACAGGAAATAAATGCCTGCCTGGGGATATCCATTCTTCTGGTAAAACCCATTTAATCTCTATGGAAAATTCTCCTGGCACATGAATTAATGTGGGTACAGTTTGAATAAAAGGAGATGCCATCTTTTCAATGCTCTCAATCCTGTGGTTGGATGAATGCGTTTCTGGTCTTTAGACTCTCTAATAGAGGAGGCACAGATTTGCCATACTTCGTATTCATGATATGAGTGGTCCATTTCTAGTCCATGCTAGGACCAGAGATTGAGGACACCCTTGGCTAAGGATAGAATAATTTTAGGGGCCCTTCTTTGGATCCTGAGCCTTTCTGAAGAGGGTCTGAAGCACTTACATTTTTCTAGACATCCTTAGGGGGAGAGCTTAGAGAAGGGAATAGGGTATGGAACCATCCAGACTTTGCTGGGATCATCTGTAATGGGAGAGGATTCCCCCTGGACCAACTAAAATCACAGACTGGAGGGATAAGGAATAGGGCCTGTAGAATTGCTGTTCTGGGAAATTCAGCAAGTAGTTTCCTGCATCCGCAGAGAAAACATCCCCTAAGGAATAAATGCCAGAGGTTGGACTTGTTCAAGGAGGAGTGAAATTGATTTGGCAGCTAGGTAGGATGGTAGATTAAAATGCTCCAGCTTCTCTTCCCCTAGCAGCATTTTGATTAGCATCTGCTAGGGTAGGTGGAAAATTATCTACTATTTATAAAGTACTTTGAGGCTTACAGAGCTGCTCTACAAATATTATTTCATTAGATCCTCAACAAACCTGGAAGGTAGGTGCTACTATTATCCTACTATATCATTTTATAGATGAGGAAACTGAGGCAGGCAACAATTAAGTGACTTGCTCAGGTTCACACAGATAGTAAGTATACAAAAAAAGAGATTTGAATTCAGGTCTTCCTCATTGCAGGCCCAGTGCTGTATGCACTATGGCACCACCTAGTGGCCTTGACTTCTTATGCGTCATATATTTTTTTCATTTTGATGGCATTTTTCATAGATTTTATTTTTCTTAGTCTGCTTTCAAAAAAACCCTACGAAGGAGAGATAACAGATTTTATTGTCTCCATGTTACTAAAAGAGTGAAATGATTTGCCTGTCACACAGCTAGATAGTAACAGAGCCCAAACGAGAACCTGAGACTGCTGCTCTAAGTTTTCAGTTCTCTCTTTTGCAGAAACATGTAGCCAAGCTCCCTCCTTTTTAGTGTACGAGAACACGTGGCCAGTGCCAGGGCAGGCCAGTCATTGGAGAGATTCCAGGTTCTTATGTCCCTTCAGGAAGAAGACCCTCAGAGCTGTGTGTCATGAGGTGGGAACCCCCTCTCACCAGTAGCAATCATAATAAAAATGATAATAATAAGAAGAAGAACAGTAATAGTAATAATAGATAGCCTTTAAGGTTTGCAAAGCACTGTATATATGTTATCACATTTTTAAATTATAAGCTGATTTAGAGCTGGGGGTTGAATAGCCTATGTGAACTTTAGCTGATTGGGTTTCAGGGTTGGAAAAATTCTGCCTCTATGCGAGCTTCTTCCAATTAACCTGCCCTCACATCTCTGTCAGTCATTAACATTTCTCAATGTGTGTGCCATGGGTAAGGGGGAAGAGAGGAGAGATAAATGATAGAACCCACTTAACCACTATGGAAAACTTTTTTTTCTCCCCTAGGCGCTTCTGGCTGGCATGAAGAACAGAGAGACCAATTCACCTAACCAAGGGAATGTAGAGCAGGCCAATAAAAGCAAGAGCTCCGGCATTGGGTGGCTATGTGAGGAAGAACCCTTGAGTGACGTAACCACCCCCTCCTATAAGAAGCCTCTGTATGGCATCTCACACAAGATCACCGAGAAGAAGAATCCAACCGGGGGAGACCAGTTCACCAACTATGAACTCTATGAGAAAGTCACGTCCAGCAATAGCCCATCGCCCCTGCGGCTCCTGAATGAGCAGAGGAAACGGGACTCCAGCAATCCTGCTCCCCTGGCCGTGGTTACCGGGGCAGACAATGACCCCAACATCTACTCCCTGATTCAGAAGATGTTCTATACTCTCAACACGCTGAATTCCAACATGTCCCAGCTGCACAGCAAAGTGGACCTGCTCTCCCTGGAAGTCAGTCGAATCAAGAAACAGGTGAGCCCCACGGAGTCCGTGGCCGAGTTCCAGCCGCCGCCAGAGTACCAGCTCACGGCCGCCGAGCTCAAGCAGATCGTGGACCAGAGCTCCTCTGGGGGTGACCTGGCCTGCCGCCTGCTGGTGCAGCTGTTCCCAGAGCTGTTCAGTGATAACGAGTTCAGTCGGAACTGTACCACATGTGGCTTCGTGAACAAGAAGAAACTCGAGTCTCTCCATCTCCAGCTCATCCGAAACTACGTGGAGGTCTGCTACCCCTCAGTGAAGAACACGGCTGTGTGGCAGGTAGAGTGCCTGCCTCAGGTCAATGACTTCTTCAACCGTTTCTGGGCCCAGCGCGAGATGGAGAGTAGCCAGCCGAGCGGCCAGACGTCCGCCTTTTACGAGACGGAACAGGTGGAAGCCCCCCACTTCCTCGATGACAAAGAGCAGGAAGAGGCTTTGTCCCTGGACCGCAGCAGCACCATTGCCTCTGACTATGTCCTTGATGCGCAGGACCTCAATGAGTTCCTCGATGAGGCCTCGTCCCCCGGTGAGTTCTCCGTCTTCCTCCTGCACCGGCTGTTCCCCGAGCTCTTCGACCATCGTAAGCTGGCAGAACGATACAGCTGCTATGGGGATGGCGGCAAGCAAGAGTTAGACCCACAGCGCCTACAGATTATCCGCCGCTACACAGAAATCTACTTCCCTGACGTGCAGGAGGAGGAGGCGTGGCAGCAGCAGTGTGCCCAGAGGATCAATGATGAGCTGGAAGGCCTCTGCCTCGATGGCAGCGAGTGCGAGCAGTTGAGGGACGACTGTTATGACTCCTCCAGCCTTCCCGACGATGTGTCCATCATCAAGGTGGAAGATAGCTTTGAGTATGAGAGGCCTGGCCGAAGGTCTAAGAAAATCTGGCTGGTTCCCATTGACTTTGACAAGCTGGACATCCCCCCGCCCGACTTCGAAGTGCCGATGTCTGACTATCTGCTCAACAAGGAACAAATTCGGAGCATCTACGAAAGCAGCCTGTCCATAGGGAACTTTGCCTCTCGGCTCCTGGTTCACCTGTTCCCCGAACTCTTCACCCATGAGAATCTGAGGAAACAGTATAATTGCAGTGGTTCTCTGGGGAAGAAACAACTCGATCCATCCCGGATCAAACTTATCCGGCACTATGTGCAGCTCTTGTACCCCAGGGCCAAGAATGACCGGGTGTGGACGCTGGAGTTTGTCGGCAAGTTGGATGAGAGGTGCCGTCGGAGGGACACAGAGCAGAGGCGTACCTACCAGCAGCAGCGAAAAGTCCTTGTGCCGGGCCTGGAGAGGAGGGACTTCATGAACTATGCAATCAACCCCGAGAGGTTCCGAGAAGAATTCGAAGGACCCCCACTGCCTCCAGAAAGGAGCAGCAAGGACTTTTGTAAGATTCCCTTAGACGAATTGGTTGTCCCTTCCCCAGACTTCCCTGTGCCTTCTCTCTATCTGCTGTCTGACAAGGAGGTAAGGGAGATTGTGCAACAGAGCCTCTCCGTAGGCAATTTTGCTGCCCGGCTCCTGGTCAGACTTTTCCCAGAACTCTTTACCCCAGAAAACCTCAGACTGCAATACAACCACTCTGGTGCTTGTAACAAGAAGCAACTCGACCCGACCCGACTACGACTGATCCGCCATTATGTCGAAGCTGTTTACCCTGTGGAGAAGATGGAGGAGGTGTGGCATTACGAATGTATCCCCAGCATTGATGAGAGGTGCCGGAGACCCAACAGAAAAAAGTGTGACATCTTGAAAAAAGCCAAGAAAGTGAAGAAGTGATAGGAAACTGTTCAACCTCTGAAACTTGGGGTCACTAAGTTCTTAGTGAAGGGCATACTTGGAGACTCAGATGGTTATTTTTTAGCATTGGGATGGCATCCACAGGGGTGCCTACTTGCAACAGTGGGAAGTGGCTTACTACATTTGCACACTTAGAGACCTACTAAAACAAAGCATCAAAAAGCTTGAATTTTTTCTGGCCCTGGTCTGAAATGCATATGCACCAAGTTCCCTTAGTGCTCAGGCAGACAGACTTTGCTCTGAGCAATAATTTTCCAACCTAGAATGGAAGGTTTTTTTTACTCTTTCCTTTTTACTGTTTAAATGGCAAGTTATGCATCTGTATTGTTCCTCTCCCCACTTTTGCATCTTCCATTTTTATCACTTTTTAAAAATTAAACAGGAAAATAACAAAAAAAAATCATTGAGCTCTTTGAGGGCAATTTTCATGGGAAAAAAATATCTTTTACACAGTTGAGCTAAAGTACTGTAACCAGAAATTTTCAAACTTAGGAGTTTTTTTAAAAAGACATTTGAAGATTTTTGTAATTCTTGGAAATGCCATGCTTGTTAGAGCTGATCTCAGCATCAGGCATGGTATATCGGCTGTGGGTCCTGCTGTCCATGTCCTAATACTTGGTTTTGGCATGGCCAAGATAACCACATTGATGTCAGTAGGGTGAAACTGCCCATGTTTTTATTTTCACTGTGATCAATACTAAAGTTTAGGCATGGTGTACATGTGTTATCTCTTGTGACCCCACAATCAATAGAATGTTAGGCTCACTTATCTAATAGGAAAAAAAACAAAACACTGGATGATGATAAGAATGTAGACAGATATTGAAACCCACATTTAGAGCACCGTCAGAGGTTTAGCTATCCCTTTTTTCTCCCTTATTTCACACAGGGAAAGGAAAAACACCTGTGAAATTGCATTTTGCCATTAGGTTCACTACTCTGCCTAAAAACAGTTCCCTTTATGGTTATAAGAAGGTACCACTTGAATTTCCTAGATATATCTCTTCCAAAAGGTAGACTATAGAAACAGCCCAGTGATTAATGTCACGGAATCTCATGAATGTGAAGAGACTTCCCCACACCTCAGTGGCTACCTAGGGAATCTATCAAAGGACCCCAACACTTCAGGGCTAGCTTGATGCCTACCCCAGAGTCTCTGCAGTTTGGGACAGATGCCACACTAGGTCTCAAACTGGACCGTATTCTTATGTCCCATTTGCCTCCCAAGTATCCTCTTTGAAATTTCCCTGTGGACTCCTTAAATTGATCTCTTTCAGTGCCTGGTTTATTTCTTAGTCCCACAGTTTATGTCAGTAGAGTACTGTCCTGCTTGTCTAGCTAATGAAGAAAGACCACTCTAGCCTAATGGCATGCTATTCAAGGAGTTACAACCCTCAGAGACCCAGAGAAATCTTTATAAAAAAAGATGTCACAGACACTCCCTCATGTTTATGTGGCCAAATACCTAAGAAGATAAGGGGACCTCCCACTGAAAACTCACTTGGCTAAACATGAAATTGACAGATTGCATCCACAGTCTTTATGAAATCCTTGTGAAGTTTTTAAAATTTTAAATTTTAAAAGTTTAATAATTCAGTTTGAGAGGCAGCGTGGCCTACGGCTTGCCTTGGGAATCTGGAAGACCCTTGATTCAGGTCTTACCTCTGATATATTTCTGCTATTTCTATCCTCTTTCCTCCCCCCCCCAAAAAAAAAGATTTTAAAGGATTTTTTTTAAAATCTGGAATTTTTCTTGAAATTCAGTTAATTCCATCAGCCATTGAGCACAGTTTACCTTTTTGTCTGTGATATTTATCAGTTTATCACAGCATCTGGAATTGAAACACACTTATTATATGTATTTGTCTTAAACTTCAGGGGATATGTTGTTCCCTACCACCCACAAACATTAGGGATGATTCTTAGGTATCATGAAGTTTCAGTATGTGCAAAGACTATCCAAATCTTAGAAGCACTCATTGGCTTCAGAAATGTCCGGACAGCCAGGGGTTGCCCTGGGAGCCCCCAGTGGTATATTTTCTTCTCTTCAGGTCATTCTGGTATGCCTTAGCCTTCCTTCTAAGGATTGTGGATTGCATCTCCCTCCTAGTGGCATCACTACTCAGTAAGATAGCTCAGTCGAGTTTCTGAGGACCCTGTATTTGGTACCTGCCCTCTAGAACTCTTCTGGAGAGGATCCCGAGGCCAGTGAAAATCATCCTTGTTTTTAGAAGATGCAACAGGGGCAGCTCAGTGTCGCAGTGGATAGAGCACTGGCCCTGAAGTCAGGAAGACCTGAGTTTAAATTTGGCCTCAGACCAAACACTTGACACTTACTAGCTGTGTGACCCTGGACGAGTCACTTAACCCCAATTGCCTAAAAAAAAAAAAATGATGCAACACAGCTCAGTTCCTCCTCTAGAGCTACAGTCATTTAGTAATCCATTTTTTAAAATACTCACTTGCCTTGATTTTTAAAAAAAAATTTTTTAAAGAGAAATTAGCAGGAAACAGAAATCAAATAAGCTTCTTTGTAACCTCTGAGTTTTAGTCTTCTTTCCAAATCCATGATGAGCTCACTCTCCTTTATTGTCTTAACTGCCTAGGATTTGGCCTTCCAGAAGGTAATCAGAAGGAATAAATTCCAGTATAAAGTCACAGAATAATTCCAGAAAGCCATTTCGTATCTCTCCTAGCCAGGAAATGCCTCCACATCCTTACTCAGTCCTTATGAAGGGTGTCTTCTGTGTTGTCATTAGTGGGCTACTCCAGCCCACTTTTTATATTAAAGCAATAGAAGTACAAAATACTTGATATTTCCCCAGGAGTTTAGAAGCATTCTGCCACCTTTTTGGCACTCTCTTTTGCTTCTAAAAAATATGTTTTTTTATATCTTGTGTTTCAAAGGCCAGAAGAATTAGCATAGTTTTCTTCTAAAGTTGGTAGCACATACTTAACAACCATCACCTGTCTGTGGCATCTAAAAAGAATGTACAAAGAGAGTCATGAATGTAACTTAAATCTACATGATCACAATTCAACAGGGAATAAAATTATGCCCTGGGTCATAGGTGCTTTATGTCTAAGTAAGGGAACAAATCCCACTCTGTCACTGTTTACCCTTTCACTGTCTTTTTTTTTTTTTTTTTTGGTGGGGGGAGGATGAGAAAAGGGAGGAAGGGAGGGAAGGATTAATCAGTAACCAGTCAATTGGATCTACTGTGTAGGGAATTGAATTGGCAGTTAAAAGTGGTAAGAGTAATTGGGTTGGCCATGGTCTGGTTATTAAGGACCTGTATGCTATGACCTTTGTTTCTACCTTGGTCTCTGAATGTTTTCATGCTTGATTAGGGGTGGGGTAGGGGTGAGTCTAGGAAAGTAAACCTTCTGATTGACTATGGCCAAGTGAGTTCTCACCTTGTGCATCTGGGCAGGCAAAAAACTAGAAAAAAACAAAACAAAAAGAAAAGCTTGCCTGTGTAGATCCAGCCTTAATAATTTCTGACATCCTAGGTATAGCAGACCATGCATAAAGGGGATGCCAGAGTAAAAACCTTCTGTAGAGAAATAAGAACAGTTTTACCAAAGATAATGAACTGATATCACATAATGACTGCACCTTCCTCTTGATTCGAGTGCATCCTTAGAAACCTGAATGTAACACAAACCCAGGACTGTTTTTTTATAATTGTATGCTCTCTAGCAACTTTGTGTGAATTTTTATACAAGCACTGTTTTATGGGTTATATAAAATGTCATAGAAAAAGCATAGAGTCTTGCAATCTAGTGTTTTAAGTCTGGAGAGCGGTTTTGGGGTTCCCCTCCCCATCTTCAGTCTGCGATCTACTATCTCAGTTTATTTTTGCCTTTCCAATTTGGCCACTTGCTTAACACCTTCTGTACCAAAGAATATAAAAACTACTCGGTCATTCCTACCAATGGGGTTCTTTGGAATCTAATACCTGGTGCTGATTAACCACGGCTTCTTCTATTTCGATTGCAATTAGGCCTGACACTTCCCTGATAGAGGTCAGCAGAGGAGTTCATTCACAGAGCACATCCTGCAAGGCCGGTTATAAGCCACCTCCCTAATGAGCTGCCGAGGGGGAGACTGGTGACCTCTTGGTCACATGCCAGACCATTTCTAACACTTAGACTTGCAACGCCTTCTGAAGTTCTCCCCTTTATCATTTTGGGTTAAATTGGACTTACTTCCTTGACGCTGGTCTTTATTATTAGCTGATGGGACAGAAAGGTCTCATGTTCTTTCTCCTCCTATCTCCTTCCAATTTACTATTTTTATAAATTCAGGTGTTTATAAATTCATTGCAGAGATTAATTGTAGAATGCTTTATTGGGAGAGATATTTCCCTCTCATTGGGCTATTGAGATGTGAAGGTGTAGGTCATGATTTTGAATATCTTTGGCAGTAGATGCCCTGCATCTCTGCTTTGTCTTCCTTTTGATAGCAGTGGAATAGAATTGGGGAAATACTTGTAGTTAGGGTACTATGACCTAAGGCAGTGGTAACTACCCTAGGCCTACATTGCTAGTGAATGATAGTTGAAATATGTAATGTTGCTCCCAGACACAAAAGGGAAGAAATTGCATTCAGGTCATTTGTGGATTTAAATGAAGTGTTAGTTGGAAAAAGGCGAGTTCTTTGAAATTCCTTTTATAACTAGGGTCTTGTCTCCTGGGAAAAATAAAATATATAGGTGATTTTTTTTTTAACAAGCAGGGATTTCTATGCATAGCTTAATACGTTGTGATAAAGAGTTTTGAAATATTTTTAAGTTTTGCCATTCCTGGAAGTAGACACAGTGGGATGGTGGAAAGAGAATTAGATTTGAGGTCAGGAAACTTGGATTAAAACCCCAGTTCTGCTATGTGACCTGTGTTGGACAAATCATTTAACCTTTCTCAGACTAATTTTCCTGATATACTAATTAATTAAATTTAAAAAGATGGCAATAATAATGATAGTAAATAGCTAACATTTATATAGCTCTTACTATGTACCAGGCACTGTGCCAATAAGTACTTTACAATTATCATCTCATTTGATCCTCAAAACCAACCTTCAAGGTCTGTGTTCTTATACTCATGTTACAGATGAGGAAACTGAGGCAAACAGGTTAAGTGACTTACCCACGGTGCCACGGTTAGTGACTTGAGTCTCAATTTGAATTCAAGTCTTTACAACTCCCTGTGACCCAAATGAGATTACTACTACTTGTACCATGGGGAGCAAGTCAGAATATCAAAAAAGGGATAATATATGGTAAAAGCATTTTGTAGCTATAAAGGACTATGTCAGTGTGAGGTGGCACAGTGGTTAAGACTGCTAGGCTTGGAGTCAGAAAGATCTGAGTTCAAATTTCACCTGATACTTACTAGACAAGTCAATTAACCTATTTCAACCTATTTCCTTATCTGTAAAATGAGGATAATAATAGAACTCACCTCACAGGGTTGTGTGGAGATCAAATGAGGTAACAGATGTAAAGCACTATGTTCTCAAAGTTATACGTCCCTTTCTCTCTCTTCTGGACACTACCTCTGCCCTGGTGTAGGCCCTCGTCATCTCACGACTGAATATTGCAGTAGCCTACTGGTTGGGGTCCCAGCCTCAGCCCTTCACCCAGCAGTTAAATTGATCTTCCTAAAGTGAAGATCTGACCATGTGTCACACAAAATCACACTCATTCACACACAATAAATTCTAGTGGCTCCCTGTCACCTGGATCAAATATAAAATCCTGTTTGGCATTCAAAGTCCTTCATAGACTGGCTGTCTCACATCTTACTTCCCTCCTCTTCCCACATACTTCGAAATCCTGTGACACTGACCCAGCTGTTCCATGAACAAGAATTTCATCCCTTGGCTTTGGGCATTTTTGCTGGCTGTTCCCAATGCCTGGAATATTCTGTCTCCTGGCTTCTTTTGAATCCCAGTTAAAGTCTTATCTTCTAGGAGAAGGCTTTCCTAATCTCACTTAATGCTAGTGTCTTCCCTCTATTGATTATCTCCAATTTATCCTGTAAATCTTTTTTTTTTCTTATTTAACATTTTATTTTTTCTCAATTACATGTAAAAAGTTTTAACATTTTTTTTCAAATTTTGAGTTCCAAATTCTCTCCCTCCCTTGCCTCCCCCTCATTGAGAAAGCAAGCAATTTGACATAGGTTATACACATAATCATACAAAACACAGTTCCATGTAAGTCATTCTATGAAAGAAAAAAGACCAAAAAAAAAAAAAACCCAAACCCAAGAAAAAGAAAGTAACAACAAAGTATCTTTGATCTGCATTCAGGCTCTTCCAGTTCTTTCTCTGGAGATGGACAGCACCTTTCATCATAAGTCCTGCAGAATTGTAGGATCTTGTATCATTGTATTGCTGAAAATAGTTAAATTATTCATCCCAGATCATCATACATTATTGCTGTTACTGTGTGCAATTCCTCCTGGTTCTATTCATTTCACTTTGCATCAGTTCATGTAAGTCTTTTCATGTTTTTCTGAGAGCATCTTGCTCATCATTTCTTAAAGCACAATAGTAGTCCATCACAGTCATATACAACTTGTTTAGCCATTTCCCAATTGATGGACATCCCTTCAATTTCCAGTTCTTTGCCACCACTAAAAGCTGCTTTAAAATATTTTTGCACACATGGGTCCTTTTCCTTTTTGTTTTTTATCCCTTTGGGATACAGACCTAGTAGTGTTATTGCTTGGTCAAAGGTATGCATGGTTACTTAGCCCTTTGGGCATAGTTCCAAATTGCTCTCCAGAATAGTTGAATCAATATACAACTTCCCCAATTGTACATTAGTGTTTTAATTTTCCCACATTCCCTCCAACATTTGTCATTTTCCTTTTCTATCATATTAGCCAATCTGACAGGTGTGAGGTAGTAGCTCAGAGTTGTTTTAATTTGCATTTCTCTCATCAGTAGTGATTTAGAACATTTTTTTCATATGACTATAGATAGCTTTGATTACTTGGAAAACTGTTCATATCCTTTGACCATTTATCAATTGAGGAATAGCTCTTATTTCTGTAAATTTGACTCAGTTTTCTGTATGTTTGAGAAATGAAGTCTTTATTGAAGAAACTCACTGTGAAAATTTTTTTCACAGTAATGATTACCAACTATGCATTTCCCTCCATCCTATTTCCCCTGTTTTGTCCTACTCTCTCCTTTAACCTATCCATTCTCAAAAGTGTTTTGCTTTTGATTTTTAACTGCCCTCCCTTCAATCAGTTGTCCCCCCCCCTCCCTTATCCCCTTCCCTTCCTATTTTCCTGTATGGTGAGACAGATTT